AATAAATTCTCTTTTAAGAGCAGGAAGTGCTGTTACCCTTGTGAGAGAAAAAGAGATGTTGAGAGAGAGAGAATGTGTATTTGTGTCTGTGTGTTTTTAGTGTGTGACCAAATGTGGTATCTTGGATGAGACTGAGCCTTTCTTCTGCTGGTGTTTTATGCCTAATTTTTAAGTATCTTAACTTTGCTCTTGGCCGAGATACTCATTATCAGGCTCCAGCCCAGGAGGGAGGTTTATTTAAAGAGCGAATACCTGGCAGGTTTGCAGGTAGCATCACAGTGGCTAAAGCACAGTGCAGACCTGGAAGCAGCATTAACCTCCCTCTGTGAATCTCAGTGTGCATGTCTGTGGGAGGGGCGCTGTGAGTTAGGCGAGATCGCCGAGCAAGGCACGGGGCATAGGGCTTGCTCTGTCACCGCAGGGCGGCCACTCCTCGCCACTAACCATTGTTTCTGGTGAGACGAGGTGCTCAGGAAAAAATGGATCAAAATGAGGTATCTGGTAGGAATTTCTCTCGACTTTTCAGGACAGACCCTCAGACATCTTCAGGAGGGTAGCGGGGAGGGTGCCACTCCCAGCTCTGCACTGGGGCTCCATTTCCCTTGGCTTGGGGACAGTGACCAAGACCCGTTCCTGAAGCCCACTGAATAGTCCTTGGGACAGCCCACCTGCCAGGCAGGACAGGGAGTTTCCGAGTATAGCCACACTTCAGGTGGATCCAGGCTCATCTGCTGATCCTCTCACTTGTGCCGCAGGCATTTCTTGAACCCCTGCAGCGTGCCCGGCTTGCGCCACCACGGCACCCTGATCAACCAGTTACAGGTGGAGGCTCTGCCTCTCCCAACTCGGTCATCAGAGCAGACGGACACCAAACAAATACTGACACAATCATATTTAGTGATTGTGGCAAGTGCCGGGGCCTTTCCATAAGTAACTGACTTCCTCTTGGTCTGAATACTGTGATATAGTAAGTAATTCACCCTGGAGAAAAGGAAGCAGAGTCCAAGGTCCCGGGATGAAGTATTCAAATAATATCCACAAGTCTTGTGGTCATAGTTGAGAGCTCACTACATGGCACGGTGAACGCTGCCCGTTGTCATTGTCTTTATTTGCTTTTGGAGGTCATGTCGGACTGCAGTGGTATTTTCAGGCAGAGTCTGCTTTGGGTTAGCAGGGAGAACCCAGAGTCTGCTTTGGGTTCTCCCTGCAGAAATGGGGGCAGAAAGCTAGACAGACTCTGGTGGTTGCGAAGGGCCAGGCCATGAACTGTGTCCTCACTCCAGGCGGAGCAGGGTCCACAAGCTCCCACCAGAGCTGCGCCGGCCCCTCTGGCACTCAGATGGGTTATTACATTAGAATTTTAGACCTTTGAACGTTCTTCCCACCGTTTGAAGAAGCTACAATTAACATCTCCTAAGCAGCTCAGCAGAACTTGGTTGCTAGGCAACAGGCCTTTAACGACAATTTGTCCATTTCTGCCAAAAAGAGAAAAATAGTAAACACTCACATTCTTAGAAAATTGCTTGTTTTCCAGCTTCTAACTTTCTTGCCACAGCGAGGCCTCCAGTTCGTCGGTGTCCATTTTATTCTTTATTTAGTTTTCATAAATCATTTAGAGACATATTAGGAGAATAATCAAGCCTTTTTTCCCAGCCTAACCTCTGGCAACTCAAAACAGAGACATCTGGGTTACAGTGAGTTGCCAGATCTGTGGGCAGGTTTGACGTGGATGGACAGAGGCTCCTCTGAAAGGTGGCATGCCCGGCAGTGGCCCCGCTGCACCCCAGGAAGGTGGCGCAGATCCCCGGAGGCTCCTGAGTCCCTCAGCCTGTGTTGGCACCTAGCACCTGCCAGGCCCTGTGCGCACCGCTGCGCTCCAGCCTGCTGCCGGGCCAGACCTCACTGAGATGGCCTTCTCCTGGGGAGATGTGGCCAGAAACCAGGAGATCCCACGCCGGGGCTGTGGGAGTTCCGAGGAAACCCGGAACCCAGCCTGGCATTGGGGAAGTCTTCCCAGAGCAGATGTGGGCTGGACTGAGACCTTGAGGCTGAGGCAGGCCGGCTCCGCTTTGGCAAGGGGCAGTGTCCCAGCAGGCCCCTTCCCTGTGCCAGCAGAGAAAAGTGCTCTGAATATTGCACGGGAGAGGGCTCGGGGCTGGTGAGGTACGCTGTGCAGCTCCCCTGCAGCTCTACTTGAGGGCAGTTGCAACTTGCAAAGCCTCTGTCTGATTTGCATAGTACAGCTCTTGCAGAAGCCACCTGATTTGACTTCGGGTTAACTCAAGGGAATTGACAGAAGTGACAGTGAGCCCTGTTGCCAAAAGGGGCTATGGGGTGGTCGCAGCCTGGGTTCCTTTGCCACTTCCGACATGTGGGACCTTGTGTAGGCTATTTAACCCAACTGAGTCCCAGGGCTTTCAACGGTAACAGGGATATGGCAGCCCCTCCCTCAGAACTGGTGTAGAGAGACTAATAATAAGTTAACCCAAGAGCAGTTGGTACTGGGCATGAAGTGTTGCCTGGCACCATGCGATAGTGCTGCCCTACTGTGCTTCTGTGAGTCCCCACTCGAGAGGGCGCTGGTGTCCCATCTGCCACCTGTTCCCTCAGCGGCCTATGACGAAACTTGGAACTGTCTTGAGACCACACTTTTCACTCCTGGATCCCCCTGGCCAAGTCGAGCCCAGAGACCCTTCCTGCTCTGAGTCCTCTGTGCCAAGCCTGTCCCTAGGTCAGGGTCACTTCTCCAAGCTGGTGTGGTTGGCACTCTGCTCTCTCCAACTCCAGCATGGACAGCACCCTGGTCCTTAGGCTTTGAACCCTGCACGCCAGATGCTGTGTGTTGCTTGTTTTGGGTCCATGTGCTTGGGGATTTCAGCTTTGGGTGTATCTACGAGGTGTCTTGCCCTGTTGACGGGCGTTCGGAAAGTACTCCCAAGAGCCGCCTGGGGGCCTCAAGTTCATCACCGAAGCCCTTTCACTCATTCGCTGCTCAGCCACTGTTTGCTGAGCACCTACTATGTGCCAGTCCCTGTTCACTGAGCATGCAGTAGAGAACAGGACAGGTGTGGCAGGGAGAGGATGTGACATGAGCAGCATGGGGACACCAGTTAATCGTCAGAAGTGAGAGTGCCCAGAGGTGAGGCAGGACGATGGGATGGGAAGTGGCTCCATCTGGCAGTCGGTGCTCCCTGGGTTGCGTGATCAGGGAAGGAATCCCGGAGGAGGTGGAATTGAAGCTGCAGCCCAGGGTGAGGGAACAGTGAGAGGTTTCACACTCACCCATGCCTCCCTGGAAGGGTGCAGAGTGACACTGGGCTCTTGAAGGGTTGATTCCTGGGGTGGGGAGATGGGCTGACAGGATGGGTGGCTCCCCATGGTGGCAGAGCCCCGGGGCTTGACGGGCATGTCCCTTTGGCCTGCCTGGGCTGGGGGAACTTGGAGGCAGTGCTGAGTCCCCTGTGGGCTGCGATCGCCTGCTTGGCCCAGGCCACAGCCGGGAAAGGCCCACACAAAAGCACTGAGTGCCTGAGTTTGTGTTCTTGTGTCTGCGGCTCACTGCTTGCTAATAAGATATGCAAATTATTGGGGCTGTAAAATCTCTACCACATTCCATCTTCTGTTTAATTAGCATTTAATTGTAATCTCATTTTAATTTTTTCACACTGGCACCCTAATTAAATGTTAGGGTATTCGTCTTAACGCTTAAATTATATTGGCAAATAGAGTCTTCAAGGAACTTGACCTTTTTCAAGCCAGGGTTCTCTCTAGCTAGGTGCAGCTGTTAATTAGATTTCTGCAAGATGCTGCCCCCAACCCCCTTGGTGCAGCCATTTCAGTTGTTTTCTTGCTGTCCTGGCGCTAGATTCGAACGAGACAGGCACAGCCAGTGCGCTGGGCCCCCGTCAGGCCGAGGTTGCCGTGAGTGAGTGTGTCGCGAGCCTCTGGAAGGCGGCAGATGCTGGCTTTTCCAGAGAGGGGCGGGTTTGGAGTTTGCTCCGAGTCTAGAGCGCTCCTCAAACTGGTTTCTCTGGTCTCAGTGATGCCGCCTTGTCTTTACCTTGTGATTCTCATGGAGGATCACTGGGGACGTTGGTACCTAAGCAAGGCATGTCGTCTGGAGCTGTCACCAAGTCCCCCAGTGGCCCTTCCTGGGAGGCCACAGTGGGGTCAGGCAACAGGGCACAAGAGTCACTGATGGTGGCCCAGGGGCTGGGCTTGGAGGTAGTTCTGGGGGGAGCCTGGGGGGGCCACAGACAGAACATTGGGAAGAATAGTTTCCTGAGTGACCAGAAGAACACCAAGCTCTAGGGTACGCCCACTCCCGGGCCCAGCTCTGGGGGCACTTGGATGGGCTTGATTGAGAAGGAACTCCACCCCACCCTCCTACCCATCACACACAGAGGGCAGGGCAGTGGGACCCCTGCTGAGCAGGCCTTGCAGACCTGGACCTGTGGGGAAGCCTTCCTCCAGGCTGCCCCAAGCCCTGCCCCCCTCCACAGTCTGCACGAGGTCCCTGCAGTTCTTGCACCTGGGGTGGGTGCCCTGCCCTCTTTACCTTGCCACTGGGCCTGCAGCGCTGTGTTGCGACTACTGAATACAATTTGAAGCCTTCGATGGAAATTGCCCGAACGGTCACTTAGTGGTGGTGTTGCGTTCACAGAGGCCTTTCTGCTGTCTGACCTGTTTCTTCTGTGCCTTTCCCAGCCTTTCTTCTTCCTTCTGAGGCCCACCCCCATCTGTCACTCTGGCCTGTAACAAGTCAGAGCACATGTGAATTCAGTTCAGCACGTTTACTGAACATCTGCTATGTGCAAAAAACACTGTGCGGGGTTCAGAGAAGACGCGTTATTGTGCTTACTGCATTTGCGTGGGCATCTGATTTTGAGGGGTGGAAAGCCCACCCAAGTTGCACCTGCCGTTCCCTCCCCCGGCCTGTGGAGCAGACCACCCCCCCAGAGGTGGTCTGAAGCCAAGCTCCCCGCCCTTGTTCCCGACAGGTTTTCCGGACAGACTTGATCACAGCCATGAAGATCCCAGACTCACACCAGCTCAGCCCGGATGACTACTACATCCTGGCTGACCCGTGGCGACAGGAGTGGGAGAAAGGTGTGCAGGTACCCGCCGGGGCAGAGGCCATCCCGGAGCCCGTGGTGAGGTGAGCTGGGCAGCCCAGGCTAGGGGCCCAGGCCGGGGGGTGCGGGGAGGCCAAGACACAGCAGGGGACCTTCCAGTCCTGGGATTCCTCTCTAGCCTAGCTTTCTTTTGTTTGATTTTTTGGCCCATAAACCACTGAGATGTTCCAGAAATACTGGCAGTTTACCTTTGAGGCTAAGCCCTTGGTCTCGGGCTCAGCGATTGACCAAGCAGCGTGGACTCCAATGGCTACTCACATTCATTGTGACTTTGGGCCAGAAGTGTAATCTCCCTGGGCCTCAGTTGCCTTGTCTGTGAAGTGGGAATGATGACAATGACACCTCCCTCCTACGGCAGTCCAGATAACGTAGGGAAATGGTGTGTGACAGGCACTGGGCACGGGGCCTGGCGCTCGAGTGTTCAGTGGAAACTGGCCGTAGATTAGGTTTGGTGTCATCCAGACTGGGTCCCACAAGCCCATCTTAATCGGGGAAGTCTTCAGACTTTTACTGAGTCCTTAAGACAGGGATAAGACAGGGATAAGTCAAGTGCTCTTGACTTCTTAAACCTTTTTAAGGAGTTCTTAGTGGGAGGGAGTCGTGTACACACAACAGGTGCTCAGGAAGCGGCTGCTGTGACCGGCCTCCTAGGGGGCCCCCTGCCAGGGCTGGGTCAGGGCCGGGTCAGGGCCGGGTCCCCTCTGGGATTGCAGGTCAGAGAGAGACCCCTGGTGCTCTCAATAGGAGGTGGCCTCATGGCCAGGGGCCTCGCCTCCAGTAGCAGAGTTCAGCCAAGTGCTTGTCTCTGCATCCTGGGAAACTGTCCAAGTCACGTCTGGGGCAGAGGGGCCTGCTGTCCTGGCCGCCCCTGCCCACCAGCCTGCTAGGACTGGGCAGCCCGTGTTATTGGCAGCCCACTCCTGTCCTTGGCAGCCCCATGGCTCTCGCTTAGGCCCATAGGACCAGGCCTGGGGCAGAGATCACGACCGTCACCTCCCGTGACATTGGCACTGTTGCTTCCTGGCAGCCACGCCCGTGACTGGCTCGCAGACACCCGGGGCCCCCTTGGTGCCAGGCCTGGGCTGGACCTGGGATTACAGAGGCAAAGCAGGCTAATCCCTGCTTGGGTTCTCCGTCAGGACTGGGTGCTGGGCAGGGCTCATCCTCCCTCAGCTGCTGAGGGCTGAGCACCCACCAGTGCTGGTTGTAGGCCTTGTGAGAACCGGGGAGCTCCAGATTTCTGGAAGGGAGCACATGTGGCATTTGGAGAAGGAATTTATACTCCGTACCCCCTGTGCAGGGCCAGACGTGAGAGTCGGGCTCCTAGCCAGCTTCACACCCTCGCCGCTGCAGACTGAGGCATTGTCTGCCCTCTTGGAGCCTGTTTCTCCCCTAAGAACGGTACCTGCCTGATGGCGTGGTGCTGAGGACTGAGTGACAAAACATGGGCCGAGGGCCCAGAGTGATGGAGGGGAGGGTCTGGCCGCCAGCTGGGCAGAGAGAGGTGAGTCCTAATTAAGCCTGGCCCAGCAGTCTGCCCCCTCTCCTTGATGTCAATGTCAGGTGGTTCCGGAAACATCCGCTGGCCTGGGCAATTGATTGCAGATGCTTCCACACCAGTAGCTTGGCTTCGGTTGCCTTTATCTGTTGACATCAGGAGGAGGGCACGTGTTCAGACTGCTCTGGCTCTGCTAGGTGCATTCCCTGCATGTGCACGGCTGCTGGGAGCTGGTGGGAGCCAGGCAGCCTGGCCAGCCAGCTCCGAGGAGAGGAGAGGAGAGGAGAGGAGAGGAGAGGAGAGGAGAGGAGAGGAGAGGAGAGAGGAGTGGCTGCAGGTGGGCCGGGCGCTCTCTTGGAGAGATCTGCATGCCCCTCCCCCGTCCCGCCCAGCCTCTCTGTCCTCAGTGCTCCCACGGCCCTGGCCTGGAGCCGGAGCGGTGGCCACTGCAGTCTGCACTGTGACAGGAACTCTCTTCCTGAGAACTCGCTGTGCTCAGCTGTTACGTTCATCTTCTCCTTTCGTGACCCTGTTTGCCCTATAACATTAGCACATATTACTGCCCACATTGTATAGATGAGGAAGTCGGGAAGTTCTGGGGAATTCCCTTCACTACCCACTGGCGGGGCCTAGTGGGCAAGGCCAGGAAATCACAGGCCCTGGGAACACCCCTGGTTCACCCCAGTGAGGCCCAGAGAGAGCCTGGTGCCCTCCTCACCCAGTGTTGGCTCTGGCTGCCCTGCCCTGCCGCCCTGGCCCTGGACAGGTCCCCCACCTCATGGTCTGAAATTTATCTAGGTAATGAGAATGTGTCTTGCCCCAAGATTGTGAATTGAGTGAGGGCCTGCATTGCTCCCTCAGTGAGGCCAGAAGACTCAGCCCACGACTGAGCCAGCCTCTGGTGTCTGTCTGGTCTTTTGGAGTAGAGACCCCTCAGCTCCCCCAGCTCCCAGCCCAGCCACCCGCCTCCTCCCAGCTGGCCTCAGCACAGCTGGCTGCCGCTGAGACTGAGGCCTTGGCCGAGGGTCAGGGTGGTCCCTGCCTGGTGCGAGAGCTTCCTCCGCAGCCAGAGCCAGAGAGGCCAGACGGCTGAAGGCGAGAGGCCCCGGAAGCCCAGGAAGTGCCTTTTCTGATGTGAGCCCTTGGCCCCAGGCTCCCAGAGAAAGGAATGTGGTATGGGCCCCGAGAGCTCCGGCCAGGTAGCAGCTGCCTGAGCACGCAGGCCAGGGTAGCTAGGCCAGTAGGTGGGGGGCACTCGGACAAGGTTATCCAGAACCCCAACTAAGCACACACTGGGGGCACAGGCAGAGCCAGGGTCGTTGCAAAAATCAGTCTGTGTCTTTAAAAGAACGTATTCAAATAAGAGCCTTGTGAGGAAAGGCAGGATTTTGTAGGAGTAAGCGTGTTGGTGTTGCTTCTATTGGAAATGACCTGAGGAAATGCGAGGAGACCATTATCATTGGCATTACCTCAGGTCTTCCTTAACCTGGGCATCTTTCCCTTTCTCCTTGCCCCCCCCCAACCCCCGAAACTGCCTCTGGGCCTCCCTCCCCGCCTGGAGGCCATTCTGTCTCCTCCATCCTTCCTGCCTCTCTTGCTGACGCCCGGGGCATTTCCTGGAGTCCAGGGCTCTGCCCTCCTCTCCCCAGTCTGGCTGAGTCACAGCCCCTGGCAGCCCTGCCTCCGACCCCAGGAGGCCTCTCGGGCCAGTGAGGGGCCTCTCAGCCCCAGCAGGGCTGGCCAGATGGAGGCCAGGCTCCACAGCAATAACCATGGCAACCAGTGGGGGGGAGGTGGGGAGCTGGCATTTTGAACTGGTATCGGGAACTGAGGGGCAGCACACCGCTGAACCGAGATGGGAAACTGGCCTCCCAGGGCCACGAGCGCTTGTATTCCATGTCAGAGGGAGCAGAGTGACACCCAGAGGTCTCACAGTACACACTCACACATACAGGGTGTGTCATGTGCCAGGCACTGTCCTGAGAGTTTGCGCTTCCTCCTCACGCCAACCGTAGAAGGTGAGCCCTGTCTCCTGAGCCCGCTGGGACACGGAGAAGTTCGGTGGCCCGCCTAGAGGCACACTCAGTGTGGAGCCAGGCTCTGAGGCCTCGTCCCGCAGCCTGGGCCCTTCCAGCTGCCTCGGAGGCAGAGCCACGGCCTGAGGGAGGGTGTTCCTGGCCTGCGATCCTGGGACGACAGTGGGTGCTTCTTTGTTTCCAGGGGAGGCGGTTTCCGTCTCGGGGTGGGGGGAGCGTTGCAGACAGACTCCCTGCTCGGGTAGCATTCTTTCTGGGGAAGGGACAAGGCTTGTGGACAACACTGGTCTCGGTGACAGTAGACCTTCTTTATGTGGAAAGGGCCACCCTGGGCTGCAGTGCTGTAGCTGGGGAGGACTCCTCTCACCCCAGAGGAGACCTGGCCTCAGTTCTTCTCAGGCTGTTGGTAAGGAGGGGCCAGGGCCTGCAAGAGCACAGAGACAATCCCCGGCCTTGAGGTGTGTGCTGAAGGACCTGGAGCCCACGTGGCTCTGTGCCACTTGTCCGGAGTGGCTGGTACTGGAAACTGCCTAGGACAGAACTTGTAACGCCCCCTGCAGGCCGAGCAGATCCAGGTCCCGAGGCTTTGGCCAAGGCCCGCGTGCCCTGATTGTGGGGGGGTGGGGGAGAGGTAAGGTGTGCTCTGAGCAGAATGGGTGTTTGTGGATGGATGTTAGAGGGCTGTGGGTCAGCCCCACTCCCATCCACCACGCTGCCCCATAGCCCTTTGCTCCCCTGTCCTGCATGCTCATAGTCATGTGAGACTGCAGGGCAGGCAGGTGTGGGGAGGGGAGTACAAGAAGACAGTGAAAGGAGGTGGGCCCTGCATGGGTCAGAGTCTCATGCCTCACTTGCCCACTAGGTCTTCAGCTGGGCCGGCCAACTCACTGGATGACCCCAGACCCAGCAAGGGTAGCAGGCTGAGGTTCTCTCCCCTCATGACACCCCCTCTTGATTTCCTAGGATCCTCCCACCTCTGGAAGGCCCCCCTAACCAGGTGTCCCCCAGCAACTCCGAACTTGGCGAGGGCTCCCAGCCTGATTGGCCAGGGGGCAGCCGCTATGACCTGGACGAGATTGACGCCTACTGGCTGGAGCTCATCAACTCGGAGCTCAAGGAGATGGGTAGGTGACCTGCCAGGCTGAGAATGGGGTCAGGAGCAGGCCAGGCAGGGTGTCCTTCAGAACTTCAGCATCCTCACGCTCAGACAGCAGCCACGACTGGGCTTTGGCACCGAGTGGCCCCGGGGTGGCAGTCCTTGCAGCATAGCTGTGCCTCAGTTTCTGTGGTTGTCAGGCACGGGCAGTGACAGCACATGACTGACCGTCCTTGAGGGTAGGCCGGTGAACAAGACCGTCCCGTGAGGAGTGAGGGCACACACAGGCAGGTGGAGGATGACACGTGTGCCCAGCGTCGGAGGGCATGGGCCTCCAGCCGGAGGGCACTGACCTGTTGCAGGAAGGGCCAGCTCTGTCGTACTCAGGCCCCTTCAGGGGCCTCCCCGCAGGATTCCCCGTAGAGCCCGCCGCGTCCCAGAGCCATGTCCCCGTTATCAGCACATACACGTAATGCATGCGTAGTCACAGGCAGGCTGTCCAGTGTCGGGGCACAGCGACGGGCCTCGGGGCCTTTGGGGTTGGACGGCCCAGCGCATTCGGTTTTCAGACAGTGGAGCTGAGGCCCGTGACAGTCGGCCTGGGTTCCCAGGTCACGGCAGATGAGCGGAAACCCTGCCACCCATCTGCCCCCACAAGCCGGGCTGCTCACACGCCCCCTGTTGTGCTCACAGACAGGCCAGAGCTGGACGAGCTCACGCTGGAGCGCGTGCTGGAGGAGATGGAGACGCTGTGCCACCAGAACATGGCGAGGGCCATCGAGACACAGGAGGGGCTGGGCATCGAGTATGACGAGGACGTCGTCTGTGACGTGTGTCGCTCTCCTGAGGGCGAAGACGGCAACGAGATGGTGTTCTGTGACAAGTGCAACGTCTGTGTGCACCAGGTGGCCAGCCCCCCGAGTGCCCTCTTCCACACGGTGCCCTCACCCTCGGCCCACCGGGCCCCTGCCTGGGCGGGGCTCCCCGCTGCAGGACCGCAACAGCGCTGCAGGCACCGGCCCCCAAGGAGGAGGGCAGGGTGGGAGGGAGGGACGGCCTGAGTGCCCCTCGGTGCCAGGGACCCATAGGGCCCCTCGGCTCAGCACCATCAGCCAGACCTGGGTAAACACCCACTGGATGGTCCTTCTATCCTCGCCTGTCACCTCCCCACGGAACACCCAGCCCCCCGCCCTCCTCCTCTGCTCCTCACTGTCCTGAACTCACAAAGAGGCAACACAGTGTCGTGACGGGGAGCAAAGCCTGGAGCCGGGCTGCCTAGTTTCAAACCGTGGCTCTGCTCTTTATGAGCTCTGTGGCTTTGGGCAAGTTTCTTACCCTCTGTGGACCTCTCTTTCCTCAACTGCACAGTAAAGTAAGTTGTAAGGTCCGAATTATTTGCTTCAAATGATATCATAAGAGCCCTAAGTATTTGTTACTGTTGTTGATATTATAAATGTGGCCTGACCTGACCAGGCCCACGCCCCCAACCTTGATCTTGGGCCCAGGACTCTAGGTCTCGGGCATCCCTGGGCCTCATTTGCAGAAGACTTGACTGGACACAGTGCACCCACTCTGGCTCTGACTTTGATGCCCCCCCCCCACTGCTGCTGGAATGTCTCCTGGGGAGCTCCAAGGGGCTCCCCTGTTTGGGGGGTGATTCAGTACCCCCATATTCATCCTTATCCTTATACCTGGCAGCTCTTAGGCCTGCCTGGGAGGAGCCCCCTCCACAGGTGCCTGTGAGGAAAGGTGAAAGGTCACTCCTTGCCCTCAGGCAGTAGACACACCAAAAACTGTTCTCAGCTGGAGGCACTTCTGAGGCCCCTCACCAATCAGGACCCTCTGGCTAGAGTGTCCTCCCGGCAGAGGGCAGACCTGAGCCCTTTCACAGAGGTCTGTGATGCGGGCTCGGAGGAGCCCTGTGTTCCAGCCCCTCAGGAGGCCTCCTGGCAGCTCCCGGCCCGGCTGGGCTGGCAGCCCCCACTGCTGGCTGCTGACCAGATGCACATGGAGCAACGCCTCTGACGGTGGCCGCCCTGCTCTCCTCCCAGGCCTGCTACGGGATCCTCAAGGTGCCCACAGGCAGCTGGCTGTGCCGGACGTGTGCCCTGGGTGTCCAGCCAAAGTGCCTGCTCTGCCCCAAGCGAGGAGGAGCCTTGAAGCCCACCAGAAGTGGGACCAAGTGGGTGCACGTCAGCTGTGCCCTGTGGATTCCTGAGGTGGGCAGGCGTGGGGGTGGGTGGCTCTGGGCATCAGCCGTGGGGAAGTGGGTCTGCGTGGGACTCAGTGCTCAGGGAACAGAGCACTGGGGTGGGGGGGGACACCTGTAGGAGATGGGACTGTAGGTGTCTGGTCTGGGAAACCCTGGGGGAGCAGCCCCTGGGGAACCTCGCTGCGGACTTGGGCAGAACTCAGGTGGTGGCCTCCAAGGGGAAATGGGGTCGTGGGCTCCTGGGAGACCCAGTGGTAGGTCCGAGAGCCAGACGAACGTCCCCCAGCTGACTCAGGGGAAAAACAGGTTGTGGGTCCACCCCTGTGTAGGCAGTGGCTCCAGCCAAAGTCAGGTTGCCCTTTTAAAATAAAAGTCAGCGAGCTAACCGGACAGGAAATCGGGTGGCAAGCCTAATTAAAAGTCAGATGGTGGGCCTGCTACCGGGGCTGGGCTAGGTGGGGAGGGACCATGGGTTGTAGGCTGGGCCCACAGTGAGGTGGCAGAGGCCCTGGGCCACCCTGAGGTGGCAGTTACACCTGTTTTGTTTGAAATGGGAAATGCGGACTCACTGCAGCGTCAGCCCAGCCCTGCTGTGTGCCAGGACCCAGAATGAAGCCTCAGCCCAGTGCTGCCTGTGGCCGGAAGCAAGCCAGGTGGGCCTGTCAGCAGGTGGCCCTGGGCTCCCAGCCTGAAGTTCCTTGCTGAGACCCGTGTTACAGGTTTCTGTAATGATAGAGGTTGTCCCGGCAGTTGTTGCTTGCTCCTAGATCAGCACCTGGAAGGCAGGGGCTCCCACTGACTGTACCCCGGGCTGGACACAGCAGGGACAGAGAGGACCAACAAGGACCCCACTGCAGGAGCCCTTCTTCCATCCCAGGCATGCACTGTGGAGAGGCACAGGCTGTGCCCAGGAGATGTGGACGTAGGCCTCTGTGCCCATAGGAGGGACAGGAGGGGCTAAACAAAGGCTCGTCCCCATTGGCCGGGAAAGCCCCTGGTGGCCTCCAGGAAGAGATGCTACCCTGAGGCCATTATTTTGATGCCCAGAAAAATTAATAAAGTAAATACAAGTTACGAATAGAACTCTGAAGAAGCTACTGACAAAGGCCTCAGGTACAGAAGGGAGGGCACCTGGCATGTACTCATCTGGACCCACACACACTCGGAAACATCTGTCTCGAGGGCCACACAACCATAAGCACACCCACTCAGTTACACCTGATGTGCACAGTCCCATGCAATCACAGATAATGGCAGGCTTGTCACAGGTGAGCCCGCAGTCACCCAGCAGTCAGCTTGGGACAGACTGGCAGGACTCGGGATTCAGGGGCTCTCCTGCTGCCCTGTCTGCCCCTCGCCCGCCTGATTTCAGCAGACAGCCTTCCATTTGGGGACTTGGGGATTTGGAGGAGAAGAGGCCTGACGCAGCCCCCTGTGCCCTGCCCAGGTGAGCATCGGCTGCCCCGAGAAGATGGAGCCCATCACCAAGATCTCGCACATCCCCGCCAGCCGCTGGGCCCTGTCCTGCAGCCTGTGCAAGGAGTGCACAGGCACCTGCATCCAGGTGCGTGGCCACCTCACCCCGAGGCTGCCCGGGAGCCCAGACAGGAGCCAGGTGTTGCCTCTTTGTGTGCCTCACCCCTACCCCATCCTTGTGGTGCTTTGGATGAATCCACTGGTAGGCCCCAGATGCCTGGGACTGGGACTGGAGTCAGAATGCCACCTGGGGGGCATTCCTTCATCCCAGTTCCTCTAAGTACAGGGCACAGGCCCAGGGAACCCCGGGCACAGGCTCTCCACCCACATGGGGCAGGGCTGCCACGGCAATGGCTCCCACATCCTAGAGTGATCGTTGTTGCCCAGGGGCCTGATTCGGCATCTCGGGGGTGGAGCCAAGAATTTGCATTTCTAGCAAGTTCCCAGGTGATACTGCTGCTCCTGGTCCGGAGGCAGGAGGTGGGGGTACCCTTTCTCTCCCCCGGCTCTCTGGGAGTGATTGTCACTGCAAACACCAGCTCTGCCTCTGCCTGTTTGTAAGGCTGGCAGAATGGCTCGTAAGCACAGAGCGCAGCAAAAACGGTCACTACTAGTTGGGTGGGTTGTTGCTGACTCAGTTATCAGCTGCCCACAGCCACCATCTGAGGCTGGGAGGGAGAGGCGGGCCCCAAGTTGGCCCTAGCTGCCCAGGCAAGGGGAGAAGGAAGAGGTCCGAGTCCCACACCCCCTTCCCAGAGGACACAGGAGGGGGGCAGTTCCCCGTTTGAGATACTGTTGCGGGGCAGAGGTGGCAGTGACCTATCACCAGCCTCTTCCAGTACCTCTGATTCCAAAGTCATTTTGCCCACGCAGGCATGCAGCTTCTCCCCAGAGTAGTAGGTGCTGAACCCTATTTCCTTTCCAGCGCCCTCTTCCTACCTGCTCTAGCTCACCCCATACCCTGCAGGATGTTAGGAGCCCATGCCATCGTATCTGGGGGGCCCCGGGGGTTGCCCACCTTCTTACCTCCCGTCAGGGCTCGCTTCACGCCTGACACTGCCCTTCCTGTCCCCTCAGTGTTCCATGCCTTCCTGTATCACAGCATTTCATGTCACATGCGCCTTTGACCACGGCCTAGAAATGCGGACTATATTAGCAGACAATGATGAGGTCAAGTTCAAGTCATTCTGCCAGGAGCACAGTGATGGGGGCCCAAGGGTTGAGCCCACATCCGAGCCAGTGGAGCCCAGCCCAGCTGCTGAGGACTTGGAGAAGGTGACCCTCCGCAAGCAGCGGCTACAGCAGCTGGAGGAAGACTTCTACGAGCTGGTGGAGCCGGCCGAGGTGGCCGAGCGCCTGGACTTGGCCGAGGCGCTGGTCGACTTCATCTATCAGTACTGGAAGCTGAAGAGGAAAGCCAACGCCAACCAGCCGCTGCTGACCCCCAAGACCGACGAGGTGGACAACCTGGCGCAGCAGGAGCAGGACGTCCTCTACCGCCGCCTGAAGCTCTTCACCCACCTACGGCAGGACTTGGAGAGGGTGAGTACTCCCATCGGCCCCTGTCCCGCTGGCAGCCGTCCCAGGAAGCCTTCCACGCTGCCGTCACTGCTTGGGCCCCTGTGGCTCACTGGGACTCTCGTGAGCTCTGGGCCAGGGGCTGAGGGCCTCCAGGTCTCAGACAGGGTAGAGGTTACTGCTACTTTGCAGAGCAGGGAAGGATCCAGCTCTCAGGTCTGAGACCCAGCCCTTTCGAAGGCCGGGTGAAGGATGGGGGCCTTGCCAGGGTCGTGAGGCCGAGAGATAACCAGAGCTGGGGCCAGGGCCCAGGCTTCCAGCTCCTCGTGGTTTCCGGCCCCACTGGGGGCCTCTGGGGGCCCTGCCTGGTCCCCAAGCTGCTGCTTTAAGTCAGAGGTGGAGGGCGACTGGGAATGACCACCGAGCTGAATCAGTGCGACATGCGTGTGCTGGGCCTGGGCAGGGAAGACTGGTGTGAATCTGGCTCCCCGGGGCGCCGGTCAGAGGAAGTGATATGGGTAGAGGGGCGAGGGGGGCTGGAGACCTGCAGCAGCCTGTGTAGAGAAGAAGCTCCCAGAACTGGGGCCGGGAGGGTGGACCAAAGCAGCCTAGAAACTGCTGTGACTGCCACTTCCTGTGACTGTCCTGCCATGTCTGCCACTTCCAGACACACCCCAGAAGAGGAGTCACAGGGCCCGTGGGGAGAGGGCAGCAGGTTGGCCAGAACCCCTAGCTGTGACTTGAGAGACAGGGGATGTTGGCTTGGTCCAAGGTGGCAGCTTTGGGGCTGAATGAGGTGAGGAAGGGGTGAACTGTGGAGCCTGGGGAGCAGGAAGAGTGGCTTTCCTGGAGCAAGGAGGCCTCCAAAACTTCTAATCTCTCCTGCTGCCCCCAGAAAGGTGAGGAGGTCCTGCCTTCTGTGGGCTGTGCTCTCGAACTTGGCTTTTTGGGCATCCCTCCCCTGCCACCTCAGGCTGATAAAGTACCACCCTGAGTTGAGGGCAGCCCAAGGAGGAGACAGGATGTTCTGGGTCCTTGGTTCAATCCTCTGAAGCCCAGGTGCTGGTCTGGCCTCTCTTCTGGGGGACATTCAGTTCTCGGGTGCCAGAGCCCGTGGGATCTGTCAGTGTCCTCCGGAAGTGCAGGCACACCTGCTCCCTCTCCCCAGACCATGTTAGGAAACAGCCCAGGGTAGAAGCGTCCCGTGGGCATGTGTGACCTAAAGCGGTGGCTTTTCGGTTCTCGAGGCTCAGCTGGCAAATCTGCACAGTGAGCAGAGTAACTTGGCTGGTGCTGGGCCGTGGGCGAGGCTCTGACCCACTCGACTTCCTTCACCCCACTCCTCTGCCCTTCCACCCGGTCAGGGGGAGACGACTGTGTCGGCCTTGGCGTCTGTCACCCAGGAAGAGTATGCAGGGGGTGGCACCAAATGTCCCTGGCTCCAGCAAGGACCAAGGACCAGGCCACCTACATTGCAGTCATCACTTCCTGGGCAGCCCAGCCTCCTGTCTCTTTGGCAGGACCCTCAGGTACAAACCTTTCAGAGCGACTGCCTGAGTTGTCCTCAGGCCACCCCCAGGTCTCCAGTGCAAGCACCCTGCTTTTACTCCCGCCGTTTCCGTCAGCTCCGACCAGGTCCCTGCCCATCAGCCCTTGTGTCTGGCCCTGCCCAGGCTGTGTGTGTGGGGGGAAGGGGGGCAGGGGGGAGGCAGGGGGCACTGATTCTTTTCGATCATCACCCTATAAGAAGAGGTGAGAGGTGGACACTCACAGCTTCAGTGAGCGGGCGAGGAACCTGGCGCTCAGGGAGGCGAAGTGGCAGGCAGCTGTGTGTGTTCCAAGAGTTGGGTTTAGATTGAATGGCAGGGAGGGTCTGTCAGAAAGAGGGTTCTTGCCTTATTCTCTATTCAGTCCATATCCTGGGCAAAGCATCTTCCTCTCAGTCCCTGAACCTCTCACCCCCTTGCTAGCTGGTACAGGTGCACCCAAGGTCAAGGCTGTCAAGGGCTAGGATGCCAGCGAGCCTGCTGAGGCTGGCTCTGGGGCAACCAGAGCTGCCACTGAGACCCCTCTCTTCAGGGGACAGAGTCCTTCAGAGCCCGATGTGAGCCAGCCCACTCTTCTCCGGGAAGAGGGGGCAGGGCTGGCTTTAAGTCTGTGAGGCTTCAGTGGTGGCACCAGTTGGGAGCGCAGGGAGGGCGTGCGCAGCCACGTGCCAGGTCGGCCCTGCCAGGCCCAGCCTCAGGGCCTGTCACAACCATGTGCTGGCGACTGGAGTAAGTGAACAGAGCCCAGAACTATGCCCCTGCCGGTGGCCTGAGCTCCATGCCCCGACCGTGGCCCAGGGCTGACAGCCAGGAGTATCTGGCCTATCTCTGGGCACCAGTCCAGTCCTTCCCAGCTCTGTGTCTTCTGACTTTCAGTTTCTGCTTCTCTCGGTTTCACTTTCCTTGTCTGTAGAATGGGAACAAGGATCAGACTAACTTTGGGGTCACAGTGAGGATGGGGACAGAGCTTAGCACAGCACCCTCTGCTGTTAGAGGTGGTTGTCATTGCTGCCCTGGCTTGTAGAAGGGTGGCCCGCTCCAGAGGGTGGGCTCCGCGGGGAATCGAAAGGCAGGCCCAGTGCCTGGGACCACAGGGCATCCTGCCCGATGGATTTGCCCCCAGGCCAGGCAGGAGTTTTGCTGAGAGACACAGGAGCTGGGGCTGAGCAGCAGCCACCAGGGAATCCCATTTTGTGGTCCGCTGAGAAGATGTGCCTTTCTAACGTGTGGCTGTAGGGCCTCCACCCCGGTAGGCAGCTTGGGAAGGCGTGGCCACTGCGGCTCCCGCAGTTATTCACAGCTGTCAGAAAAATTGCAGCGCTGACCGGCAGCCCAGGGAGTGCGCTGGTGTCCCCTAGCAACCAGCTGCGAAGGCAGTTCAGGCCGCTGTGGGGCTTCCTGCCTGTAGCCCTGGATCTGGTTACCAGGAATTCATTCGAGAACCTGGCCTGGCCTGAGTGGGGCGACAGGGCAGGGGCGGCCCTCAGCACGCACCGCAACACGGCGGAGGAGAGGGCTGTAACAGGGACCCCTCAGGCCTCCCTTCCCTTAACTCTCCCGAGAGGGAGACCCTGCCGCTCCCCTCCCCACAACCCCCAACCAGCATCTGCCTCCTCCTCAGTCGGTCACGCCCGGTTCGCTGCGTCCACAGTGCCTGGACTGTGTCCCGCTTGGCCTCCCACCGAAGCGGACTTGCCCTGCGCAGCCTTGGCCCCCGGCACTCTGGCTCCTCACTCCCTGCCTCTCCCGTCTCTGGGACTTTCCTAAACCCCGAGGGGCCCCCCACCCATTCAAACCCTGCCGCCAAGCTCCAGTCTCCACGTGCCCTGATCCCCAAATCCTTAGCCACAGCCTCCTGGTCTCCCTGCTCAGTCGCCCCCCAGACTCCCCGCCCATCATGTTCCTCATTTTCTTCACTGGCATTAGCTGGCCCAGGGCCCTTGGCAGACCCTCCCCCAGGAGGAGCCAGTCTCTGCCCACCAGGAGCTGTCTGACAGCTGTGAGGAGGGGGGCCTTCCTAGGTGCCTGCCCCCAGCCTCGGCAGGACCCAAGCCAGCAAGGTTCTGGGCTCCATGACCCCCCACCTCTCTCCATGCCTCCCCCACCTCACCCAGGGCCCCCTCTCTCTCAGCTCCCATCCTGTGCCTCAGAGCAGAACCCTCCAGCTCCATGCTAGGAGCTCCCTCTGCCCACTCCCTGGCTTTCCTGGCTCCCCGATCCCTGAGGGTCCCATCCCAGCCCCCGCCCTGCAGCACAGGAGTCTGTCTTCCTCTGCTCCTGGTCTCCACGCTTCCACCCGCAGTCCCATCTCTTTTACCCTCTGCTATCTTTGGACGCGACCCCTCCCTCCCCGTCTCCCTCTGGTCGTGGGTTTCTGCATTCCCATCCCCTACTGTCCTTCCCGTCATCCCTCACTGCTCTCACGTCCTCGCCTCCGACTCTGGCCAAGCTCCTGCCACCACCACATTCCAGAACTTTCCATCAGGGCGGACAGCCTCCATCTCCCTGGGCCCAGTGGCCGTGTCCCGGTCCCCATCTCCTGGCCCTCTCGGCCGTGGCTGTTGGCCGTGCCTTGTTCCTGAGCAATGTTTCCTGTCGGCGCTCTGACCAGACCCCCACACACCCCAGCTGTCTCTCCCTCTCTGTCAGTGCGTGTGGGCCGAGCTCAGCCGGCCTCTCCGGGCGGCACCGACCGACCCGACCGAAGGCTGGCCTCGCTGGGGATTTCTCAGCAGGAAGCGCGCTCGTCTTCTGGAGCAGCAACCTCCAGGCATCCCCAGTTGTGTAGGGTGCCCTTCTCAGGAAAAAAAAAATGGAGCATTTATCTGTAATGTGTTGTATTTTTAATGTCTATTGCCACTGCTTATTATAAAACAAACACATTCAGAATTCCTAGTAGGATCAAAGGACATACCAGTAGAAGTTCTAATACTCCCTTACTGGGCTGCGGTGAGCTGTCTCACTCAGGAGCCTGGGCAGCTGACTCTGGAGGCCCCTGCCTGGGGCAGGAGCTCTGACTCCACAGTCGCAGGTGATGTGTGTGTATTGGAGAGAGTTTGCTAGGCCCCCAGGCCTGGGAATCTGTGTTTTTAATCAGCCGCCCAGGGGGCCTGGATGCCAGCAACCATCTGGGCATGCCTCAGGGACCCTTCCTCTGCAGTTTCACACGGAAGACAGAACCCAGGGAACCGCTTCACACAGGTTCTAAAAGGAAGTAATTAAGTATGATTCTTGGTTCTTTTGGGGAGAAATTTGCCACTCTGGCCTCACCTCATTTGGCTTCTCACAGTTAGAGGTTAAGTTTAGGGTGAGAAACTCCTCAGTGGCACGTTCTAGGAAAGTTTTAAAAGCTGGAACCTATGGCTTCTCAACCTTTTGGCTAAGATCAAGTGCAGTTTCTGTTCTTACCAGTTTAACATCTGATACATCCTCTATCCAAGCACAATATGTTAAAGGGGCTTTTAGAACAAGGAGATGGAATAGGAGCTTGCTCGGGCCACTCCACGCGTGATCTGGTATTGCAGGACTTCAGGGAACGGTGCAAGAGAAGATGAATAAAAATACAGGCTGGACCTCAATTGATTCGTTTTTCAGTTAGACATCTTGGCTGATTTGTTCTGAGAGCCTCCAAAGTAGCCACAAACCCACCTACTTCTCTTCACCCCCATGGACCCTGTGCACACCGGGCCCCGTGGCTGCTGAGAAGGACACGGACCAGGGCTCAGGGAGGGGACACAGGGCAGCTGCTGTGGGAGACAGCAACGGCCTGCGGGGGGGTGGGGTGCTCGGGCCAGGACCCGAGGGACGGGGGCCAGCCCTGGGAAGGGAGGGGTGAAGAGCATCTCAGGCCAGGAGTTGGAGACACACCCAGGCTCCCAGGCAGAAGTGGGCTGGGCGCAGAGGGAAGGCGACAGGGCAGTGCTGTCCTGGAGGCTGCTGGGATGGGCTGGGAGATGACAGTGGGCCAGGTTGATGGAACAAGGCTTCGGGCTGTGGCTGCGTTTTGTGTTTTGTGTTTTCACTGCGACAGGTAGGACGCCGTCTTTGTTTCCTGGGGCTGCCGTAAAGAAGTGCTGCAGCCCCTGGCTGGCGTAGCTCAGTGGATTGAGCGCGGGCTGGGAACCAAAGTGTCCCAGGTTCGATTCCCAGCCAGGGTACATGCCTGGGTTGCAGGCCAAAACCCCCAGCAACCACACATTGATGTTCCTCTCTCTCTCTCTCTCTATCTCCCTCCCTTCCCTCTCTAAAAATAAATAAATAAAATATTAAAAAAAAAAAAAAGAAGTGCTGCAAACGCAGTGGCTTTAAACACAGGGACTGGCTTCCTCGCGGTTCTGGAGGCCGAAGTCGCCCAGGTTGATTCCTTCTGGGGGCTGAGGGAGGGTCCACCCTGCCTCTCCCAGCTTCACCCGGGCAGCCCTTGGCCAGTGGGCCCGTGACTCTGGCTCTGCCTGTGGTCACGCAGCATCCTCCCTGTATGTCGTCACGGGGCCGTTCTTAAGGATGCGAGTCGCTGGATTTGGGGCTCACTCACACCAGTGTGACCCTATCTTAACCGATCACCTCTGAGGCTCCAGAGGGACGGACATGCACGTCGGCAGTCCCGCTCTTCAGCCCGGTACGGAGGCTGGCAGCGGTGGAGGACTTACATTTGCATGTCAGGAAGATTGCCCTGGGGCAGCAAGGGGTCCGTCCAAATGGCTGGCTGTCCAGCTGAAGATGATGGGGGTGACTGAGAGGTGCGGGGCGGATGGTTAGGACTCACATTCCCGGGAAGGTCTGGCGGGCATGCTGGGGGATCGGCCGTGGGGGTGGAGGAGGAGGAGGAGCTGCGTCATGAGGGGTGATTCGGGGCGCTCAGCACTCAGACACCCCCATCAGGAGTCTGCACAGAAAGAGCCTGGCTGAGCCTGACACTCTGGCCGCAAGGCCGCACACGGCCTCGCCCCTGCCTGGCCTGTCCCCTCTCTGTGACCAACTCCCTCTCAGCCTGGCGGCCCCCTTCCTCAGGAAGCCTTCTTCATCCCCCAGGTCCGGTTCTGGTCCTGCCAGGACGTGGTCAGCATCTCTCTGCCCAGCTGGGCGTCAGGTCCTGAGGGGAAAGGGCCCCGGATGGCGCTACTCACAGCCGAGCCCGGGGCCCCACATAGGAATTCGCAGAGCCCCCAGTGTGCCAGAGCAGGGCTCCCAGGCCAGGCCAGGGCTGCCTCCTGGGGGAGGTGCTGGCCCCTCTGGTGGCCTGCTGGTCACATGCCAGCGTGAGAGCCACTGAGAGTCCATCCTGCAAGGCCAGGCCTGGAGCAGGCATTCTGGGCTCTCCTTCACAACCAGGCCCAGGAAGGAGATGAGGATGCACCTTCGGAGAGTTCTAATCACAGTCCCCCTCTCCCCTCCCCCTGGGCCAGGAGAAGTGGGGCTGTGACAACAGGCTGGGGCTCTAAAGCTGGAGGCCACTCCCAGGCAGCTCACAGACAGGAAGCCTGAGCTCACCCTTGAAGATGGAACCCATCTGGAGACAGGGAACTAGTTTCGGCTAGAAGGACCAAGGTGGCACCCAGGGGTCCAGTTCAGCAGCTTCTATTCAGCTGTCCCTGCTGCTGGAGGTTCTGACCTAAACCAAAGATGACACCAGAACCAGGAAGCATTTCCAGGGAGGGGCCTGGTCTTGGCCCAGGGGGCGGCCGGTGGGGGTGGGCATCCTGGGCAGAGGTGCCACACACACAGGTGCTCCCAGGCCAGCTGCGGGGCATGTCTCTCTCCCAGGCCTCAGAGACGCTTCCCAGCTGGTGTCCCCGAGTCAGAGCCCCTGCCCTTCCCTGTGAGGAGTTCTGTCTCTGGCTGAGAGAACGTGGCCCTGGGGGCCCAGGGGCCCTGAGGGCGCAGGGGTGGGCTGGCTCAGGTCCCAGAGCAGGAGGTAGCCCCAGGTAGCCTGTCTGCTCGAAGCTATTGTCCTGGCAGTCTCTCTCTTCCATGCGTGTGGCCTTCGGTGTCTCAGGATAGGAGGTGGATTTCACCCTGTGGCTGTAGAGTTTCTCTGATGGGAAGGAGGCCTTGGACGGAGGGCAGAGGGATAGACTTGGTGACCTCACAAGATCCCTAGGGGAGGGCAGCAGCAGGGCTGACCCAGCCAGGAGGAAGGCGGGGCCCCCAGCCTAAGCTCACCTGGCGCGCTCTGCTCACTCCGGCTCAGCTGAGGCGCAGGGTCGGGCTGGGCTTGGCCCCCTGGTTTGGATCAGAGAAGCGTGTCCCAGACACTCCGGGTCTGGGAACGGATTCCCGGATGTCCGGGCAGGCTAGGCAGGGGTGGTCAGCCTCGAGTAAGGCGGGCAATCTCTTTTGTGTTTCCCCAGGTTAGAAATCTGTGCTACATGGTGACAAGGCGCGAGAGAACGAAACACACCATCTGCAAACTCCAGGAGCAGATATTCCACCTGCAGATGAAACTTATTGAACAGGATCTGTGTCGAGGTAGGCGCCTTCCCCTCCGGATGCCGCCACCTCAGGGTGCGCGCTCTTGAGGGGCTGGCTCCCGAGGAGGGCGTGTCTGTGGGCGTGGTTTGGGGGCATGTGTGTGGGGCCCGGGGCCATGGCTCTCACCCTTACCCTCCATCATTCGGTTACTGGGCCAAGATGGGGACCTCCCCGGGGTCCCAGGTATGTACTGTTAGGCAAGGAGTCAGAGTTTGGACCGTGGGCCTCAGACCTGCCCTCAGAGAGCTGTCTGGCGCAGTGGGGACACCCAGGTAGTGCCAGAGACACCCAGGTGTGCCGGGGACATGGTGGTCCGGGAGTAAATTGCACATGAACAGGCAGACTAGACATCCCAGTGGCTCAGTGCTGGCGCTGGGACAGGAAGGGCCAGAACGCGAGTGTCCCTGCCCCGTGAGCCTGTGTGTGGATCTCAAGCAAGGCAGCCACCGCGGTGAGGGGAGAGAGCCCCCCAGGCACGCACTTCCAGACCAAATCTGGGATCCGGGCCTGCGCCGGCAGTTTTTCCATGTGTTTTCTTCATATTCTCTTGCATCACATGCCTTTAACAGTCCTGGAAATCAAAGGCCAAAGAAGCTCTGATACCGTTTTTATCTGTTGTGTGTCCTGCCAGACGCGGGGGCCCTTCCTGGAGCATTCCCATGTTAAGGGGGGCAGTGCGTGTCCCCAACAGCAGTGCTCTCATGTTGAGTTACGTGCAGCAGGAAGAGCTGAATGGAGAGAGATTTGAGCCAGGGGCTGCTCCTGCCTCCTCAGCCTCTGGGCCAGGCCGGGCCTGGAGTGGACAGGGAAGAGGGCTGCCAGGCTGCTGCCAGAGCAGATGGCAGTCCCAGGTCCTGCCCACTTCTGCCTGAGAGCCAGGCTGCTTCGTCTGCACCTGGGGATCACCACCCACCCGGGCCCACAACCCCAGGAATGCCAGGTGCAGGCGGTGGGCACGGTGGGTCACGGCAGAGCTCAGAGTTCTGCATGGGCCCCCAAGCCCAGGGCTAGCGGCTTCCTGGCTTCGGGAGCTTTCCCAGGCTCCCCTCACCTGTCGATGCGTGGTGAGCACTGACCGAGCGTGGAAGGGAGGCCAGACCCGTGCTGGGCACTGCGGGGCGCACTGCTATCGCCTCAACGACCGAGGGCCCTTGCCCTAGAGGGGCTCACTGTCTGGGAAGACGACAGACAGTGGTGTGGCGAGGGGTCAGAGGGTGAGAGGTGGCGTCTGGGGCTCACAGTCGAGGAGGCAGAGGGCGAGGCGTGCAGCGCCCTGCCGCATGGGACTCCAGAACCACATTCAGGAGCCTGGGTGTCCCACAGCCCCGTATCAGGTCTGGGGACACTGGCAGCTCCTGGCCCCGAGTGGCTGCAGCAGGCAGGACCCTTGAGCAGAAGACTGGTTTGCCTCTGCCCGAAGCTGAGGGCTCCATGTTTTTGCGCTTGACCCCTGGGGTGGGACGTGGGCAACGGGAATATGGCTGAGGCTTGTCTGGCCAGAGGGCTGGAGAGGGCTTCCCGGTGGTGGTGATATTTAGCTGTGAACTGAACCAAGTAAAAGACAGGACAAGGAAGGAGCATTTTTGGAGCTTGTTTTGTTGGAAAAACGGGAAGGAGGCCAGCGCAGGCACAGCTAGAGCAGATGGAAGAAACCGAAAGTGAGGCTGAGGAGCTGCCAGGGTTGGCCATGCGAGGTCTTGGGACTTGCAGAAGGAGTTCGGACTATACTGAGGACAGTGGGGACCTCCAAAATATCTGCACTGGCCCCGTATTACAGATATGGAGACTGAGGCCCAGTGTGAGGTTACACAGGCAACCAACAGCAGAGCTGGGAAGACTCCACAGCCTGGGCCACACCCCCAACACCCTTAAACCCTTACTCAGACAGCCCTCCAGCCAGCAGCTGAGAAGCTGGGAGAATATTCCCGGCCACTGGCCCTCCCCCACACAAGCCCCTCCCTGCTCCCATGTTCACCATGGCCCCTTGGACCTGTGTGGCCGTGGGCTGAAGGGATGTGACGGCCACGTATGCACACAGCGCTCCCACGTCCTGTCTGGCCTCAAAAGCAGACCAGGAGGCCGAGGCAGGAGACTGGCTAAAGGAGGCTGTGAGCAAAGCCTCTTGATGGTGTTCTGTCCACCTTCACGTCAGCTTCTTGGCCTGGACTTCAAGGCCCTGTCCTGCCCACTCATCTCCATCCATCCTGCCAACCCCTGGGGCTCTCCCAGGACCTGTGGGCCGTTAGGTTGGGCTGCCGCGCAGACCCTGCAGAGCGGTCCTCCACCCTCGTGGCCTGTGCCCTCCCCAGGCCCTGCCAGAGCAGCGGTTACCACTCTCCCCCACACTGGGTGCCCCTTGACCCCCTGCAGCCCCAGTTACCTCGGGGCCCCCGAGGCTCTGAGCCTGGGGTATGGAGGCAGGGCACGGTGAGCTGGGTGGTGAGGTGCCAGGTGAGGGGGCGCTTCTGGGGTGGCATGCTGTGATCGTGGTTCTGGCTGGGGCAGTTCGGGATAACCACCTGCTCTCTCCCCTGGTGCAGAGCGGTCTGGGAGGAGAACAAAGGGCAAGAAGAGCGACTCGAAAAGGAAAGGCCATGAGGGCCCAAAGGGCAGCCCCGAGAAGAAAGAGAAGATGAAGGCAGGGCCTGACTCCGTCCTGGGGCAGCTGGGTGAGTAGGTGGCCACGTGGCCTGGCCCACCGGCCTGGCTCACAGTGTCACTCCGCTTGCAGCCCCGCCCTGTGTCAGCGGGGCCAGCAGGGACCACAGTGCCCCCGCTACACAGAATGGGAGCTCCAGGAGGGTGAATAGGCTCTTCTTTGCCCGGGGACTCACACCTTCCAGGCACAAAGGTGACTAGGGTTTCAGAGCCCAGTGGCCACCCCGAGAAATTCCCATCCTGTAGACTGGAGGCTGTGCCCCAGAGCTCAGGAGACGACTTGCCCCTCCCACCGGCCAGGGTCTAGGGTGGGAGACTTCCCCAGAGGCCCTGAAGGGACCTCCAGGCCATCTGGGCCCTTCTAGGAGCCCTGTGCTTGGAAGTAAGGGCCCCAGAATTCTCCACCCTTGTCCCAGTCTGCCAGAACCTTTCCGAATGGGCCGCTTTCCAGTACCAGGGCCTTCATGGGGCCACCCAGTGAGGCCCAAAGGAGTGGCCAAAGGCTGGCCCAACCCACCTTCCCTGTTACAGACCTCCGTACCCTACCCCTTTACGCCAAGCAGCCCTCAAGGGGACCCCCGCAGTGGGCTTTATCTCCCAGGATGCGTCCCCTAGGGCACTTCTCAGGGACCCAGGGGAGCACCCTTCTAGCCCTCACTCACAGCACAGAAGCGCCAGGTTGTTTTCATTTTCCTCAGTCCCGGGAGGGGGACTGTTTGTGTGTCCTATGGGAAGCCCAGTCTCACCAGCTGTTCCAAGACCTGAGTAGAGAGGGATGGCCCAGGGCTGGAGCAGGCCCTGACATCTGGGAGGGACCTTGTACCCTGATACCTTGCCACCCTGTTCATGCCTGACACCTTTATCCCAGTTCCTTGCTTTGGAAGCTGAGAGAGGCAATGCTCATAGAAGCCTAGCGCCCCCTGGTGGCTGGAGGGCATTTTCCTCCACCACCCACTCCCCTCACCCCACCTCACCCCACGATGGGGGTGGTGGGCAGGGCCCGCCTCATGAGTGTGCACCTGTGCAGTATCAAAGGCCCTTGCTTGGTTTAATGTTCTACTGTGGCCACCTTGAAATTCTTAGTAACTTCTGAACAGGGAGCCTACAGGGAGGAAGGTACCCGGTGGCATGCTGGGTCAGACAGGGCTTCCTGAAAGAGGATGGGACATGCACCTGCTGGCATCTCACCGTCCCCCTCTCTCCCCGCCGCCAGGCCTGTCCACCTCCTTCCCCATCGATGGCACCTTCTTCAACAGCTGGCTGGCGCAGTCGGTGCAGATCACAGCGGAGAACATGGCCATGAGCGAGTGGTCCCTGAATAACGGGCACCGGGAGGACCCCGCTCCGGGGCTGCTGTCAGAGGAGCTGCTGCAAGACGAGGAGACGCTGCTGAGCTTCATGCGGGACCCCTCGCTGCGGCCCGGCGACCCTGCCAGGAAGGCCCGCGGCCGCGCCACCCGCCTGCCTGCCAAGAAGAAACCGCCACAGGACGGGCTTGGTTCACGGACGACTCCAGACAAACCCCCCAAGAAGCCCTGGGGCCAGGATGCGGGGGGTCAAGGTCAAGGACCACTTGCCAGGAAACCACCACGGCGAATGCCTTCTCACCTGCCATCCAGTCCTACAGCTGGGGACTGTCCCGTCCCAGCAGCCCCCAAGAGCCCACCGCTGCTGGCCCCTGACACCCCCGACGAAGCAGCCCCTACGGCTGCCGACTCGAATGTCCAAGTGCCTGGCCCGACGGCGAGCCCCAAGCCCTCTGGCCGGCTGCGGCCGTCCCGAGAGAGCAAGGGAACCCGGAGATCGTCAGGCGCCAGGCCTGATGCTGGGACAGGACCGCCCTCTACTGCGGCTGAGAGGCCAAAGGTCAGCCTGCGCTTTGACGCTGAGACAGACGGCTTCTTCTCTGACGGGGAGATGAGCGGCTCTGACACGGAGGCCCAGGACAGCGGGGTGCAGCGGGGTCCCCAGGAAGCAGGGGCTGAGGAGGTGGTCCGCATGGGAGTTTTGGCCTCCTAAGTCCTCCCTGCCCCATCTCAGGCCCTGCCCTGGTCCCCCGAGGAGGCCTCAGCCCAGACACAACTGCCATTTCCAACCTGCTGAGTGTCCCAGACCCTCGAAGCTGCCACTCTGTGGCGGTTTTATTTTTAATATAGAGAGAGTTTCGAATCCCACACCGTTGTCTTTCCTCTGTGCTGGCTGAGGACCTTAGGACTCCTTCCGTGGCTCCAGCTGCAAGGGCTGGGCCAGGTCCCGGCAGCGCCCCTGCTGCCGCTGTGGCATCCCCACCTGGCCCTTGTGGCCCTGCCAGGCTCCCGGCTAGATGCAGGCAAGGTGAAGGAAGCGCAGGACGCCAGCCCACCGCCACTGGGTAACACAGACTGTCGTTTGGGCATTATTTCATGGCAGATGGGCCAGGCCAGGGCCTGCCCACCTTGCCCTCGAATCCTACTGGAGTCCATTTGGGGGGTCCTGCTGCATTCCACTGACCCCCAAGGAAGTGTACATGTAAGCGGCACCCAGCAGAGTCTACTCACTGTCACAAGCACAACGAGCTTATACGAGAAAGCACTGAGGGCGCAGAGGGCCCCGCCGGTTCCAGGGGAACCACAGCCGTTCCTGTCGACCCACGTCTAAGGCCTGCCCGCCCACCCCGCGACCCTCCACTCCCTTGCTGCTCTGCCCCTGCCAGCGCCCAGCCCTGCAGCTCTGGGAAGGGGTTTCCAGAATCCTTCCCTCGCTGTGCCACTTACTCAGGGGACTCCCAAGCAGCCAGCCGCCAGTGCCAGTGGAGGGCTGCCAGGGAGGGCCAGGGCCCAGACCAGAGCATGGGCTCCGACTCGCCCGCTGCAGAGGGTCGCTCTGGGGCTCTGACTTCCTTCCTTCCTTCCTTAGCGGCCAGTCCCGGCTGAAGTCTGGTCACTCCCAGACAGCTGCCCAGACCAGACCGATTGCCTTTTCAAGTTTCCCAGTCCGGCTATGAGATGAGCTGCTTCCTTGGTTTCCTTTTGGGAACTCCTCCTTCCAACTAGCAGTGGGATCCCGGGGCCCAGGTAGCCATGTTGGCTGCTGGGGCGGTTGAGTCTTGCTGGAGGCTCCTGGTTCCTCTCCCTCTGAGCCTTAACCCCCTTTCCCAGCTGTGCCCTCCCCACCACCCACCTGCCTTTCCTACTCACCACCACCGCACCCCCCCCCCCACCCCGCCTTCCCCCAGCCTCCCAGCCCCAGGTCCCAGGTAGCCGCTCTGAAGAGGTTTAGTGGAGTGGCCCCAGGGTGATAGCTCAGGGAACAAACAAAAAAGGAATTCAGTGAAAACGTCTTTTTTTTCTTTTGTGAATTACTCCTGGGTCACTTCCGCCACTGGTCATACGCCAGAAATTCTCCAACAAGAACCTTGCAAAAGTCCAGTGAATCAGTCGAATCATTCTGTGGATGCCAAAGAATATTTTGACCATAATACAGCACAGCCTGGACCTAACAACTTGTCACTTGGACTTTTTTTTTAATGGAGTTCTTTAGCAACCAAGTACAGAACCACGTTCGCTGCGCACACTGAGGAGATGAGCCCGAGCTCTTGGAAGAGCATGCGGTTCTGCCGCTTGACCGTGGGAACCGGGAACCGGGTGCTGAGTTCCAGGTCCCGGACCGGGCCCACCACGAGCTTTCCAAAACTCAGACTCACGGGGGGTAGGAACACTGGCGGCGAAACCAGCATGGCCAGGGTCTTGGCCACGAGGTTCCCCTTGCAGACACACTCACCCCCGACTTCAAAACTATCAAGGTACGACAGTGGCGTTGTCATCGATACTCAATTTCATGTGAATTTTAGCAAAATAGGAAACAAAGATAAGGACTAAGTTCAGGGGATCGGACAGATGTGTCCGACGGGAGTGGACCCGGTGGGCTGCAAGCATTCCGGGCGCTGGGATGGCCTGAGCCGCCAGGTGGAGCCAAGCCTGCCTGCCGCCTCGTAGTTGCAGCCAGTGCCTCTGCAGCATCAGCAGCAGCGTCCAACCCCGTTCTCTGTTTACTGCCTTTGAACAGACCTCCTTCCTCCCCGTGCTTCGGGGCACAGCCTTGTCTGTGCTGGATGCCCAGCCTGACCTCGCAGGGAGAAAAGGGAAGAGCTTAAAGAACAACCAAACTCCCTGGGGCATGAGGGTGGCAGGGCCAGGGATGGCTTGGGTCCAACAGACTCAGCACGTCCCCTCCCCCCAACCCCTTCCTCCACCCAGAGGCACAGTCTGGGCTCCCTGGGGTGGGAGAGACCAGGGCGGGGGTACGGTGGGCCTGGTGTAGGCAGGGCAGCCAGCCCTCTCCAGGGGCCTCTGCTCGAGTTGGCCTCTGGATTCTGACCCTCTAATCTGGGCTCTCGCTCTGTTTGCACCAGGTTGTCCCTGGGACAGGCCCTAACCCTGCCTCAGCAGGCGCCTGTCCACCTGTAGGGTGTCCACCAGGCTGCCAGGAGGACAGGACGCTGGTTTGCACTCCCTTCCACCATCAGCCACGGCCCCTCACTCTTTTTCTGGCCCGCTGCCCACTGTGTTCACGGCTCTGCCGCCCCCAAGGTAAAGGCGGGAAGGAGACAGGAGAGGCTTTTCCAGGCCAGAGGCTGGGGCAGACCTCGCACTTGACCACACCAGCCCTCAGGGAGGGTGAAGCTGCTCTGTGACTCGTTCTGGCTGTCATCCCCATTTTCCCGACCCCAGCTGCCCACCACCACCTTCACCCCCATCACAGTGAGAAAGGATAATGTGCAAGGAAAGTATTTTTGTGGATCATAGATGTATTTTACAACAAGTAAGGAGAAGAGAGGTAGAAGGGTTTATTTTATTAAATGAGCTCTGACCTGGTGACGGTGTGTGAGCATCTGTGAGGGGCTTGGTTTCCTTGGAAAAGCCACCCCGGTTCCCAGACGTGGGGCTGGACTGTGGATGCGTGTGTGCATGCCAGGGCACGTCTCGTGTGTCCAGTGTACGTGTGTCACTGTGCCATGGGTGAGCACACTATGGGACTCACTGGGGCAATTCCTAGAGAATCAACTGCTTGACTCGGGCACCAGCAGCGGCCAGACTTGGCATTGCCGTGCCCGCTGCCGGGGTGGCCAACCTCTGCCTGGGCCCAGCTCTGCAGAACGGCCTGGCTGCCTGCAGCAGGGCCCCTGGGGAGGCGACTTCCCACGCCCCTGGCCCATCTGGCCACATTGGCCAAAGAGCCGGGGCTGGAGTCTGGGACTCTGGGTTGTTCTTTAGGGCACTTCCTGCCCCCTTGTCCCTCAGATGCGCAGCACTGTGCTCCACGTCAGCTTGGGGTGGGGGGCGATATGAATGTCACAGGAGGGGACTCCTGTCTTTGTTTCAAAGAAAGTGATGTGCCATTTGTTAATATACAAGAGAAATATTGAAAATATATTGAAAAGAGCAATTTTAAATTATTTTTGGCTTATGTTGCAATATTTATTTTCTTGTATTAGAAAAGATTCCTTTGTAGAGAAAAAATGTATTTTTCATTAATGCAAAGACCTATTTCTCCTTTTTGTACATTGTCCGTGTTCGCTCCCCCTAACAAGCAATAGAATGTATGGCCGCCCCGGGGTGGCCGGCGCCTGCCGTGCCCTGCATGACTCCGTGTTGCCGCTGCTACGTAGCTTTCAGCCCCATCCTGTCCTGCTCACTCACTGGGGTTTCCTGACCCGGCGCCTGCCAGGGCCTGTGTCTCGGGGAGCCCTTTGCACTCCTAATGTGTTGGCAAACGCAGTTAATAAAGCAATGTTTTCTGTGCTGGCTGGTGTGAGGCTTCTTCATTGCACTGAGTAGGACAAGGGGTCCGAGGGTCCTGTGCAGCCACCAGACAGTGGGCTCCCTGCAACAGCCGTGCTCCCTGCATGTCCCGCAGGACCCACTGCTGCCTCCTGAGGAGTCGTGAGAGTGATGGCCATAGCGACCACTCTGTACGTCACACCAGGGGCTGTGCTCAAGGGCCAGGTTTCTCTGGCTCCCCACTGTTGTCATCCCCCAAACTCGGAGCAGATGAGGGGTGTCCCCAAAGCCACACCTCTGGTAAGAGGTGAAGCTCTGCGTCACAGGCAGGACTGTGGGATTCTTGCCACCCCCATAGACCACCTGCCTGGGACAGTGGGAAGGTTTGTAGGCAAGCTTGGGCATCCGTCCCTGCATCAGGGAAGAATTTTGCCCAGGGTTGTTTTTCATTCATAGATTTCTGAGAACGAACTTCACTCCAGGCTTTGGAAAGTGTGGGAAAGCTCACTATCTCTGCCTACAGCAACTCCCAGTCCAGCAGGGACACAGGCAGGAGGGAACTGGGAGTTATTGTGCTGGTCTGGGTGGGGGGACACTCAGGATGCAACACCGTTCATTCATTTATTCATTCATTCATTCATCCATTCACTCAACAAGGAATCTATTGGCCATACACCTGGTTCTGCCAGTGTGTTGGCTCGCTTGCTGTGCGCTGCACCGGGACCCTGCTCTCAGAGCTCCCAGGCAATGGGCCCTGAGGAAGCAGTTGTTTGTCCTAGGGGAGCTGGGTGTAAGGAAGAGACTAGAAGCATTCCTGGTAGAGGGCGTGGCTCAGGTATAGGCCAGCCAGGCTATGCATGGAGGGGTCTTAAACCTCAGAGCCCAAGTGGAGGCTGTGTGGAAAGGGTTGAACAGGGAATCTAGTTTGTGGACCCACTGAGTCCTTTAAGGCAGAGAACTGCCCCATTTCCTCACCAGTGCAGTAAGTGGCAAGTCCCCAGAGGCACCTCTAGAGCCAAAATTCTGTGACTCCACAATATGGAAAGCATTGGAAGTAAACCTGGTGATCCTGGGAGCCAGCCCATCCCGCCGGCGCGTGGAGCAGCTCTGGCCAGCTGCCCTGGCTTGGCACCCCAGCCTACCCCTCCTCCCCTGGCCAGCCCAACGCCCTAGTGGTCAGAGGAGTGAGGCAGGGTCCCCCCAGCCTGCGGAGGGACCTGTGCATGACAGTGGGCCCAGCTGGGGGGGGGGGGGGGCGGGCGGGGCTGCCGCCCTGTGCATCTGAGGCAGCAACATTCAACAGAAGCACAGTGAATGATTCTGGTAGACACACATTTAAAGAGTAAAAAGTACAGGAAAAATTATTTTTTAAAAATATTTTTATTTATTTATTTTTTAGAGAGAGAGGAAGGGAGGGAGAAAGGGAGAGGAACATCTGTGTGTGGTTGCCTCTCACGTGGCCCCCACTGGGGACCTGGCCTGCAACCCAGGCATGTGCCCTGAGTGGGAATTGAACTGGTGACCCTTTCGTTCGCAGCCCATGCTCAATCCACTGAGCTACACCAGCCAGGGCTCAGAAAAATGATTTTAATAATTGTATTTAATCCATTTAAATCCATTGTGATCACTTAAATGTGTAATATAAAATAATGAACTACTTTACATTATTCTTTGCACTGAGTGTGTGTCTCACACTCACAGCACATCTCGATTCAGACTAGTCACATCTCAAGGTCAACAGCCATGTACTTAAGCTCTCCATTGGGCAGCACGGCCCTAGGTGCGCTCAGCTATCCCCTGGATTACCTTGGTCTCATATCTGATTGTGCTCCTGGGCCTTCACTTCTGTCACTGCCTCTGCTGTCCCTGCCCCGGTGAGACCCCAGGATGGCACAAGTGTAGGCTGACCTGGTTGAGGCAGCTCCCCTTACCCCTGCCCTGCTGAGGACCGGTCTCTGCCAGCACCTCCCCGGAGGGGACTGCCCACCCATGATGCCACACTCCAGGCGCGCTGCACTGATTCAGCCCTCCGAGTGCCTGAGCCATTAGGATGACCACGGGCGTCCGTGCAGAAACCAGGCCAGTGTGGGAGCAGACGAACCAGAGCATCCCAAGGCTCTGCAATTACTCACTGCGACTGTACTGCAAGTGAGCGTAAGGCCAGGGGTCGGGGGGATCTCTGGCCCCCTGACCTTCCCCAGTTCTCGCTAAACTCCGATAAGTAGGTTCTGGGGCGCCATCTACCGCCCGCCAGGCCACAGCCCGGATGCCTCCAGCTCCAAGAGCCTAGGCCCACAGGGCCCGAGCCAGCCCCGCATCCCCCTGTCTCAGAACTCCAGCCCCCTCGTCTGGTCCCCTGCACGCCAGCACCTCCCAGTGCAGAGGAGGGTCTTCTCTATCAGCTTCTGGAACAGGGAGGCAGTTCACGGACAGGAGGCCCTTGAGAGAACAAGGTGTTGACTGAGGCCTGTTGGGTGCCCACCCTGGGTGGAGTGGGTAGGCCAAGGAGACCCAGGCCCTGACTTCTCGCAGTTGGCAAAGAAAGGCAGGAAGTCCGCAGCGGGCTGGAGAGGGAGAGCTCCCGGCCCTCAGAGTCAGCCTCGGTCCCTTTATTGCACCTGTGTCTGTGTCCAGAGCTGCCAGAGGGGGGCAGCAAAGGCCCCCTTTCTTGGAGCCGTCTCAGGACTCCTGTCGGTGGAACAGCAGGTTGCTCACAGTGATCTCACAGTTGCCCTCCCCTTCACAGGAGACCCGCACGCTTCAGCCTCACCTGGCCAGGCTCTTAAGGGCATCCACGAGGGCCAACTCCTTCGCACTATGACGGCCGATCCAGTCCCCCCACCTCCCCCTGTGTGTGTCTGCCCCAGCCACCTACTCTTCATCTCCCGGATGAGAGAGAGGCTCAGGCAGAGGCACATGAGGCTTCGTGATCACCAGGTGGTGTTGCCCAATCAAAAAAAGAGAGAGATCATAAAATATAAATTTGAGCCCTGGCCAGGTAGTTCAGTTGGTTGGAGCATCACCCTGATACACCAAGGTTTCGAGTTCAATTGCCTGTCAGGGCACTTACAAGAATCAACCCATGAAATGCATAAACAAGTGGAATAACAAATCCATGTCTCTCTCTCTCTCAATCAATAAAATCTTTTCAAAAATAAGAATTTTAGCCCTGACTGGTGTGGCTCAGTGGGTTGAGCATCATCCTACAAACTGAAATGTTGCTGGTTCAATTCCCAGTCAGAGCACATGCCTGGGTTGCGGCCAGGTCCCCATTTGGGGGCACATGAGAGGCACCTGATTGATGTTTCTCTCGAACATCAATGTTCTCTCCCTCTCTTTCTGCCTCCTTTCCCCTATCTCTAAAAATAAACAAAATCTTTTAAAATATGAATTTTAGGGCAGCCTTGGGGATTCAGGCAGACTCATTGCCAGGAGTCAAAGGAAAAGAGGAAAGGATGAGGGATTCATCAAGCACGTGACTTAAGGGCAAGCTGGATGGAGCAGGGGCTGCTCCATCCCCAGCGCTCCGAGCCAGGCCTGGAGTTCAGAAGCGCCCACACCATCCATTCCAAGGGAACCCGGGTCGGGAGACAGAGGTTCTGGTGCTGGCTGGTCAGGGAGGCCTCCAGGGGGCTAGACGGTAGGGTGGCCTGATTTAGCAAATAAAAATACAGGACACACACAAAGAATGCTTCAGTACAAATATGTTCCAAACACCACATCCTCTATTTTTCCTGGCAATCCCAGTGGGAGGCCTTGTGTCCTCTACCACCCTGGGTCCTGGTAGAGGGCTGGTGCTGGCATGGGATTTACCATCGTGTACAAACTGCAGCCAACACAAGACTGTTCCCACAGCCCCAGAAAATGCTCACCCCTGCAGTGTGAGAGCAGTGGAAAGGAAGCTACAGCGGAGGCCAGAACAGATAGAGCCCAGCCCGCACCTGTCTCACTGTGTGTGCTACAGTGCACGCCGCGTCTCACTTCCCAATTCGGACAGTCCTGCAAGGGACTCAGCTCCCTGCAGCTCTGTGGGGCCCCCAGCCCATTTATTTGCTGACTCAGGTCAGCCTCAGAAAGTGCTCACTTTGGCTGCAGCACTGTTCACTAGAGCCAAGAGGTGGGAGCAACCCAAGTATCCAACCATAGATAAATGGATAAAGAAAACCTGGCAGATGCACACAACAGAATAGTATTCAGTCTGGAAAGGGAAGGAGATTCTGACAGAAACTGCAACATGCATGACATTGAACACACTCTGCTGAGTGAAATCAGCCAGTCACAAAAAGACACATACTGCACAATTCCACTTCCATGAGCTATGTACAGTTCCTACAAGGTATCAAACTCATAGACACAGGAAGTAGGGTGGTGACTGGCAGGGGCTGGGGCGGAGGTGGTATGAGTTACTCCGTGGGTGCAGCGGCAGGGTGTGGGGTGCTGGGAATCTGGGGCACAGCAGTGTGCTTGTTGTGGACGGTGCCATGCTGTGCACTTGGAAATTGTTGGGAGGGTAAATTTTGTTTTGTATTTTTCTGCCACCATTTTTTTTAAAGAATACTATACAGAAAAAAAAAACCCTCTGCTACATTCAGTAACATACAACTACTTTGTTGCAACAGCAAACATAATATTAAGTAAAAGGTGCTACTCCAAAACATTAAAGAGAAAAAAGAGTTCACACGTTGGGCCCCTGCCTGTCCTGGGGCTCAGGGGACTCCCCTACATCCCCAACTCAAACTCAAGTTCAGGCTTCCTTTCATTATTGTTGCTCCCTCCTCAAAGCTTTTCACACCGTGCAGTTGAGAAATACTGCTGACCCAGGAGTGAGGAGACCAGGGTTCGACTCCTCTCTCTGCCACTGACTTAATGTCCCTCCATTTCCCCATCTGAACAATGGGAGAAGAGGTTGGGGATACTGGGAATCTCTGAAGTCCAGGTCCTGGGGGGAGGGTCCATGGTCAGAGGATGCGGTTAGTGAGGATCAAAGTGAGAGCCTGCGGGCCTTTTAAGTTAAGGTCCCC